TCTCTTTCTCTCTTTCTCTCTTTCTTTCTTTCTTTCTTTCTTTCTTTCTTTCTTTCTTTCTTTCTTTCTTTCTTTCTTTCTTTCTTTCTTTTTTATAATATAATAGTTTATTTTTACTTCATTTTGTGCATTTTTCCATCTCAGTTGCAATCCCCTTGGGCTTCCCATCACCAAATCACCATGGGCCCTGACATTTCTTGACAAGTTTGTGAATAATTCATCTACCTCCACCCACCATGACTCACTCTCTCCATCTGTTCAATAAGAAACTGCTATCTACCATTTCTCCCACTGCTGTGTTTTTAATGCTCTGAGTTTTGAAGAAGAGACCATAGCCTCACAGAGTATATATTTTCAGGAGTCATGGGAGTCTTTCTAGAAGCATTAACATTCGATCCCTCTCTAATAACTGCTTGTATCTTTACACATTCTTAATTCCAAAACAGGAGACTGCTTAGGAAAACAGAGGGACCAAGCACAATGACTCAGTTGTGAATCTAGAACAGGTATCGCCCACTTAGAACAGTATCTGGTGGGCACTGACAGTCTTTACTTAATGAGGTTGATAATAAGCCATTCAAATTTACCCAGATCCAAAATTCTTTTTTTTTTATTTAAAGTCCATTTTTTACTAATACTGAATTACTTTTTTAATTTTTTGAGTTGACACCCTCAAGTCTGGTTATTAAATCGTGGGTTTAAAGTATTATTAATTTGGTTAGGATATGGAAGAAGTTGGTATTTGAAAAGCCATTAAGTATATATTGGTACAGTGGCAGGATAAAGACTGAATCAATGAAATCTATCTAGCAATCTACTGGCAAACATATTTCATGCACACACATATAGATGCAAATACACATACACACATAAGCACACACACACATACATATGCTATGAAAATAGCAAACTCACTGTGCTTGACTGTGGTCTAACCTTGATCTGACTCCTTTGCTCTTTTTAATTCTTTGATTATGAAAAATCAAAGCAGCCTATTGATGGAAAGGAAATACTTGCTCTTCTCATGTGGCACCCTCTTGAACCTGTGTGATTACTTCTGTCCCTTTAGGCCCTGCTATGTGCTCTGTAGTTACATTCACACTGTCCATCTTAGCCAGCCATTCCCCCTGCACACCCAGAAGTACACCATAGTACTTTCCATTTGGAATTGGACCTCATACTAAGCCCTGTTGTCTTCACACTGATAAACAGATTTCCTTTTGTTACAACAATGTTACTTTCCATAAGCTATGACTTTACATATTATAACATCTCAACATTTCAATCACTCCTTCCTCTAGGGTAGAGAGGGTTTGGATAGGTAAGTTAGTGCTGCTGGAACTCCCTTTGTGATGAGGATTCCTGCTCTGAACCCCCTCTCCCCCACAGTACCCTTGGGTCATTGTTCTCTTCCAGTTCTCAGTTGCTGTCTTGTGAGACTTCTTCACTGTCCCTGTCTGTTGACCTTGCCTAGTTGCCCTTCACCATTGAGCTCCTTCATTTTCCCTCTAAACCTATTGAAGCTCTGTGTTCAATCAAAAAAAAAAGTGAATTATGAGGCCACCATGTCCTGCCACTAGGCGAGTTATTCAGAAGAAATGTAAATGGGCCTCTACTCTTAACTCCATCTAATTAGTGAGAGATGTTTTTACATACCTGAAAATGGTGGAGCTCTGCTCAGGTTCAAATAGGAGGGCCCATTAGGTCCATCTGGGCAAAAGCTATGCCCATTTGTGTTGCTTGTGATTCATCAGAACCTCATCCAACACCCTGCATGGAGGAGACCCTCAATAAATATTTGTTGGAAGAGTAAGTGAATGAGTGAAGACTAGCATATTAGAACAGGTTTATAGAGGAAGCCAAACCAGAAACTCAAAACAGGTCTTGAAGGATGTCAGAGATTGGAATTCATTAGACAAAAAAAAGAACAATGGTACAAAATTCTAAAGGAAATAAATAACAGCGGACCTGAAGGAGAGAAGGAACTTTGTCTAATTAGAACACACTTCACACATATTGATAGGTATTGGGAAATAATTGTTTCTCCTTACATATATTGATATGAGACCAGCTTTGTTAAATACTTTCTAAAGGGGATTTTTCACAAGGATGGATTTTGATGACAATGAAAGGATAGCATTTAAATTCCCAGGATTTGTGAGAATCCAGAGAAACTGGGTGAGGAAGCCTACTAGAAGATGGTAATGCAGGGGCAGGTGATGAGATTTTGGAAAGGACAGTGAGAATAGACTGAAAAAGATATAAGGTATTTTGCTGAAAAGTATGACATAATTTCATGGGAAGAATGAATTCAATGTAGCTACTAGGAGCCTGGGTATCTGATCAAAGATTTGGGAAGGAGAGATGAGTTGGGAAAGAAGTGGTTTGGGACAGGCTGGTATGGGATGACAGTGACACCCAGCTGTTGCCCTATCAGAGGTGCAGGTCTAGAGAAGCTTGCGGAAGGCATTATCAACAGAGAGTGTCACAGAATGGTGGTAATTATTTGCTTCTCCCGCTGTGTGCTAGTTACAGTCAAGCTTTTTTTTTTTTTCTTTTTAAATCATCAAAGAATTTAATAAGCATCGGTTTTTGTTTTTTTACATCACTTTGTGCATTTTTTCATCTCATTTGCAATCCCCTTGGGCTTCCAATCACCAAATCACCAATTCCCTCCCCCTGCTTTTTTTGATCCAATTCCCCACTCCACCCCCACAAAATGTCTCTGGTATATAGCTGTTCATCATAATCATTATTTTCTC